GTTGGCTTTGTCCTCGGTCAGACGCAGAGCTGTTATCGCAAGTTTATGCTGTATTTTCCATCTGCTACTTAAAGATTGAAATGCGATATCGGTACAATTTCGGCCAAAAATATCGCCGAAGAAATGTCGTGGTCGACCAGCGAAATCTGCCGCTTTTGTGACGAGAGCTTCTCTCGCGATTTCGTAACTATTTATAACAATCACCTGTTGTCTGCCCATAAGGATTCGGAATAACTTGCCGTACTTTTTGGCCATGTCAGCAAAGGCAGTGTATGGTCTCTTAAGATCAATTGAGAGAACATTTCCAACCAAGGGCAAAGGAAATGGACCCGGCGGAAGGTGGCGGCGTTGCCATATTGTGGGCACGACATAGACTACCACAAGTAGAATGAAAATGCCAATGACTGTAGGTATCATGACTTCACCGTCAGTAGCTACTGGTGCTTAATTGGAGTAGGATAACGATTTATACTCTTCAATAGACACTTGGTGTACTCCACAACGTGAGATATGTACGTCTGATTTACCTTCTGCCCACGTATGCACGACCTTTGCGCTCATGGAGAGCCCTTTTTGTCCACAATTTATGCCAAATACTGGATTACGATGATAATAAGATACTTGTATTTCCTTTGGCAAGCAGCCTGAGGGCTTCTTTTGTAAATTTAAAAAAATTAGCATTAACCACTGGAGTCTCCGATGCTGCACGTAAAGAGGTTCATTGGAAGCTAGAAGCTGCGGTTCCTTTACCTTGTGTTTAGTAGTGTAACTTACGAAGACCTTCCCGAGACAGCAATTAAAAAATTGCCTAAGCGACCTCGTCTAAGGTTCTACTTGACCGATCAGACAGAAAAAAATTGCATCAATCGCTGGAATCTCATTATCCCCAATTTAAGCCAAATACTGAATTACGATGGTTATAAGATATTTGTGTTTGTCTAGCATGCAGTCTGAGGGCTTTTTTTGTAAATTTAAAAAAATTAGCATCAACCACTGGAGTCTCCGATGCTGCACGTAAAGAGGTTCATTGGAAGCTAGAAGCTGCGGTTCCTTTACCTTGTGTTTAGTAGTGTAACTTACGAAGATCTTCCCGAGACGGCAATTAAAAAATTGCCTAAGTGACCTCGTCTAAGGCTCAACATGACTGGTCTGACAGGAACCATAACTTTTTCACAAACCCTTATTGTGTCAGGCCTGGTCAATCAAAACCCCCTACCTTTTCCAATAGTCAGTTTTCTCCACTATAAGAGGCATCAGTAGATCTGAAAATTATAAAAATCATACATTTCAAAAACTTTGAACCTGGATGAACCCTACCTGAGCAGTTGTGTAAATAACTGAGGCGTGAAAAAAAAAAGAAAAAAATGAAAAAAAAGCATGCAGGCCTGTACAGGCCTACATGTTTTTTCAGGCCTTATTTTCACTACTGCTTGAGCAGTGTTCATTACTGCGAAGATCGCTTTCATATTCACGTCCACGGATAGTAACTCGCACCCGAAAATTTTTGCAATCGATGCAGGAATAAATGAGTTGAAATCTTTTATTTGAGCTATATAATCTCGCTGTTGTAGTTTATACAGAAACGACTATTTACGTCAGTGGTTAGAAGTGGAAATATCCATCGCAGATCACGAACCTCTCATTCGGTGTTTAGTTGTTAAAAATAATCAGCTAATTTGAGGAAAATACGCTCTGTTATTTAATATGATGGACTGAGACAAATAAATAAAGGCAGTAAGTTTCTAAGGAAACTTTGTTGCTGCGTCGGTAGGAGAGTATCAAAAGAGCAATATAGTATTACGAACTGAGTTGATAACCCAAATTGGCCACCGTAAAGAGTTTAAAAGCTGACGTTTCGGGCGTCAGCCTTTCGTCGAAGCGATTGATAGAAAGGCTGTTGGAGAGACGTGATGTTGTGATAGACAGTCAAGTTTAAAGCTCTGACCTCGTTTGTGTGGCTAATGCACAGATATCATGAAAGATGTCGTAAGAATGTCTCTGGAATTTTTTTTTTAAATTCTGCATATCACAACATTTTCGGAATTTATCTAAAAAGAAAAAAAACTCCCCAAAAATTGTATTGAACTCACTTAATTTCTTGAGTGGTGCTGATATCATATGGTAGAAATATAAAAATAACAAAGCGACCGCTTTTTCTTTAGCCACAAATCCGAAATAACAACTTTCCGTCACGAAGCTTAATATGAACAAACAAAATTAATCATCTTTGAAATAATCACTTTTCGAACGTTGACTGTAGACCCGTGTGAACTGCTGAATAAGCCAGTTTCGAGTTCCCCATTATTAAAAGGGGGAGAACATTACAAGCGCTTTTTAGCAGAATTAGTCTTAAATTAAGTCATTGTATTCACAATTATTAAACCAAGACAGTGACCTATTTTCAATTCTATCTATTTTTAATCTTTATATTTCAATAATCTTTCTGCCAATCTTTGTTAATATCAGTAACCGTTGGCCGAGATTAACCTTGTATCAATGTTTCGTTTAAGGATTATTGAAAATGGACTGTGATGTTCCTGATTTAAAACTTTAAATAGAAAATTAGGAAGAGGGCATCGAGAAGAGGACAATCGGAGGAGAGAAAATGTAGCCTTAAGATTGAGAATGAAATATTGAGCTCAGTGGAACAAGACAGTAAATAAAAGGCAGTCTATTTCTGCATGCGCCTACATGCAGAGAGGTTAATGAACAGCTCTTGTCGATGCCAAACTTGTGACGAAAAGAGGATACGGTTAGAACATATAGTTTGTACTCTGGTTAATTAACAGGCCGGGGACAGAGCAAGAAATCATTAGAGTACGACATACTTGAATTGAATGTACGTACGCTCTGCGTACCTAGCGCTCTGGATGTACCTACTCCTGTGGGTCTGAAGGTATAAGGTTCGAGCCCTGGCTACGTCGACATTTTTAAAATTTCTTTTTCTTTATTTTCTTTTCCCTTTTTTTCTGTTTAATTTACAGTATTCGTGAAAGGATATGCTAGATATGTCAGAGGAAAACGCACATGTGAAGACTTGTGACGACGTAGCCGTTTAACGGACATCGAACTAAACCCCACAAAACCAAAAATGAATCCGAAGAAACCTGAGCGGAGACGTACAACGATGATTAGAGTCGGAAATGACCAGATTACACGGGACGAGTACGAGTCATAAGAGTGTCTGACGATAGTCCGCCATTTTGAAAACCGTGGGGACCTGGAGAAAGTTGACGGCCTCACTTGACACCAAAAAGTAATACCTACGGCCTTCCCAGAAGTAAGGCATAGTGGGCAAAAAAACGAAGTACGGGACTGCACTGGTTTTGTCTGATCTCACTCTATGATTGGTCTGTTTCGCAGAATTTCCTACTTGCGTTGCTGAGAATTCCGCACACGCTGGTTCAGTAATCTTGGACTGTATACTTTCTCTTGATTCAGGCTTTATTGACGACAATTCAGCATTACACGTTCCGTTCTGCGATCCATCTACTCTATTACAATCTACTCCTGGGGTTACAAAAATGTCACATTTATTAGCTAAGGAAATCCACACCTAGATACGTAATTCCGTGTGAGATTGATTCAAGACTCACTCACGTTCTACAACAATTCGTGGGCACTAATTTCCTATTAAACATGGCTTTACTTGACAATCATGCTGCTAAGTTCCCACGCGCTTAAACGCCCTGCAAATACCTTATTTCATTACCCTATGCCGCTCCCAATTACATGCTACTTTTAATTGTAACATTAACTCTGTACTTTAACGGTAACGAAATTACAACTCACTTAATACACAATTAAATTCACAATAAACCTACGAAATAAATTTTTTGTGTGGAAACATTTCACAACGGTTTAGATATATGAAACAAAAAAAAAATCAGTCGTCTCAAATGTTTTAGCGACATGAAGCATACAGTTAGAAACGGCCGCTACCGAGAAAAACTCATCCTACGAAAGTAGTTAATTCTTGTTCGAGAATTAACCATTTCCTTTTTTCTCGTCACTTTTCATCGCCTTTAGATCGAGGTTAGCATATATGCGGACGTCTAAGAAAACAAACTTCTTCTTCAAACAGAATGACTGTGCATTGATCATTTCTTATCACAAAGTAAGGAGCTAAGAGCCTTCTATTCCCCTTGATTTGCTCTTGAAAAAACCCTGTCTTCATTATACGCTAAGTGCACTGATTTGATTTTTTTTACAAACTCTTTAAAAAGAGATAGCGCCCACTTCAATTTTTCACTGCTTGTGTGCGTGTTTGAATAACAGTCGACCCTCGAATGTGGACATATCCATCCCCTCTTAGCGCGAAATTTCACATGTTTAAGCTTTCGCCATAGCGGACACTAAAGTACTTCGTCCAAAATCTAGACACACATAATATAAAGCGACATTACGATAAATGAAAGTAGAGAAACCATTCTTCAATTTGGGTGCGAACATAAGAACTTCCTACTTGCGGCCGGATCTTTTTCCTGTTCGTGAGGCCACGTCACGTACATATTATTTTATAAGATTTGTTTTCTCTCGTACCCCTATTGTGGACACTAAATCTCCCCCCAATAACAGAAGTAAACTGTAAATAAAATTTGGGCCATATTATGCGCAGAAATATCTTTCCATTACGTTTATTTTGACTATGAAATGCAAACAGTAACGCTATCAGGTCTTTGAGTTTGGGAGAGTGTTGAATGTGAATCACTCGAGTTATCAGGAAAAGTTATATGCATCTTTATCAAGAAAAAACAGTGCGAGATCTTTTTCTTAGGAATTTTTGCTGACGTTCTGAAAATGTAAGCCAGTTTGCAAGTAAAAAAAGAAAAATTCCACGCGGATATAACTGAACTGTTTTCACTTGAAGGTAAAGAAACAAACTGGAAAATTTATTCATTTAGCTCTCGTCTGTCATCAAAATCACTGGTGACCGCAGCGGACAGGGATTTACAATATTGTACTTGAAAGTTAACAATTAACATTGCGAATCACTCGCTAGAGCCAATCGCTTAATCCAGAAACTGAAAATTTGCTGCAAGCCTCGATTTTAATGTTTTTATCTCACGTGAGTTTTATCACAAGGCAATGGACTTGAAAGTTATTCTCATGGTTTTGCTGGGCTGCTCTGCAGCGTATTTCTCGTCACCTGGTAGGTAATATACAATTGCGTTTTGTAATTGGGTAACACAAGGGGTCAAACGTTCATTGTTTAGCTTAATAGTTTTACAGAGAGCTTCGCAGCGATTCAGCAAAATGCGAACTGAAATTTATTCAATTGAATCGATATACTGTCATAAGATTGACGTAAAGATGCATCTTCTTAAATTCGACGGGGATAAATGGAGATGTTACACTTGTCCTTCTCGATGATCTATGCTCGTGTCATTTTTTAGGGTCAGCATTCCAAATTCCTATCATGAACTAACCTCGTGCTAGTTTTTAAAATAATTCTAGTTTCTAAAGATTGACATCATTATATAAATATCAACATTTTTAACTGATTCGATTTATCATTTGCCGGAGTCTGTTCAGGACTCAAGAGGCTGTGAAATTTATAAACAATCTAATGTCCGTCAACCCACAGTGTGTGGAGAATATTTTCAGGAATAGATGTCTTGTTATAACATGGATAGCTTACCAGAACTAACGTTTCGATACAAATTGTTGCAGTTTTCAATCACCTCTAATAATATATATCAAGGGATTTATGAAACGAGATGAATAATTTTTTTCCAGAGCGATACCGGACGCTTTTGTTATTTCCATCGTGGCGCGTCTAAACATGTATTTTATAAGCAAACAACTGGTTATCTTCATTTTGTTACAGTCAAAATCATGGCGCAAATCCCCTTTCGTATGGAGAACCTTTACAAATTAAATCAAATAGATTTCTGTTTTATCATTTCGTCCCAAAGTTCGTACCAGTATAACATAGTCTCAATGTAACACAACAATAACGTGCTCTTACTAGATCCATTACATAACAACAATCAGCCCAAAGAAAAAAATTCAGTAATTAATTTGAAGGTAAACAAAAGATCACGTAACACGATTGAAGGCGTATAAAAAATCCAGTAAAATAGTTACGGAAGTATAAACAAAGTTAGAAATCAGTTCTGGAGTAATGTAGCTGCCAATTAATAAGAACCTTCGCTAGGAGTTCATTTCTTAATTCATAAAATCGTTTTTTTTTTTCCCTTCTAATCCGGAAATCGTAATGATTTTCTTAGGAGTTCATTTCTTAGCTTAGTCAATCGTCTTTCTCTGTTTTTTTTTTCTTTTTTTTCAAATACTCGTAGGCACAGCAATGAAATAAGGGTGCGGTGCCCTTATTTCTTAGCCTTGCAAAAAAATCACCTTAGTCTTAAAGGCGATTACAAACTACAAGGGCGTGGTTAAGGGGTGGTCATGAAGTGCTGTTATCCCCTTACCTTTGCTAGATTATCGTTATGTTTTTTTTTTTCCAAGTCAGTGACTGACAAACTTTCTTGCCGCGTGAACTCAGGCCCGCTAATACACAAAGAAGTCCAGCGGCGTAAACAACAGCCTGGAAATGATAGCGTAGCTGGATAGAAATAAGTTGAAATTGGAAGAACAATCTACAAGCGAGGATAATCAACGATGGAGAGGATTAAAATAGATTTCTAATGGAAATTTAACAAGTTTAATCTAAATTTTACAATATGGGAAAGTGATCACATTGGCTCTTAATCAGTTTTAAGAGTAATTATTATCAATAAGATGTTTTTCAGCACGGCTCGGTTTATATACGCAATCAATATATTACAATCAAAAATTAAATATAAACTTGAGGATCGACAATGGTATACTTATATTCGTTGTGTTTCATGGTAAGCTGTGGCAAACAATTGTTCCGTTATTTCAACGAATTTGACGTTGGTGTTCTGTGGCCATCACAACACGTCACAAGATGAGTGCCTGGGTCGGGGATGCTGTTGGAATTCTTCTTCTAATGCAAATGCAGTTAGGTGCTTTGGGATCGCGAATAATCAGTCCAGAGCCAATTCAACACACACAACCAGTGTTCCTATGACAACGTCTTATGTTTCAAGCACCAAAGCTCCTCTCTCCACCCCAGCTGGGTATGTTTCTTAGTGACTGGCTATTGATGTACTTGACAATAGTATTCATCTTGTTTTTTAACTGGTTATGTGAAAGAGACGATGTAGATTAGGTAAACAGGTGTAGTCTTCACTTGCGCCAAGTGGTGGCCCATTGCTTGTGAGCTTCTCTAGCTTAAGATCTGGTTATTCCGCCCAAAAGTATAAACTTCCAAAGGAAGAAAAACGAAACTTTTAACAATTAAAAAAATGTTGACTCGTTTAGGCTATTAAAGGCATTTAGAGATATACTGAGTTGCGTTATATACCATGCTTTGGTGGCAAATAGGCGGGGGGGGGAGGGGGAGGAGGATAAGAAAACAGGTTCTTTAGGAACCTCCTTTTTCAGCTACGCCTTACCTTCTCCTGTTAAGCATTTTTCCTTATGGGACACATGTTAACTCTAATTTAGACATCTTACTATTAACTTTTAGTCCCAAGAGCACGTGCCAGGTATATCATGGCCAGGTGTGTGACCAATGGCTGAACTACACTATGCTGGAGTACCGCTGGTCCCCGAGATTTATTGACAGCAGATTCGGACTGAATGGAACCGAGCGTGTGATATTGGAGTTTATGTACGCCATTAATAGGATCGACGGCCAAGAAAAATGTAAGGACATATTAAAAGCTCTCCTCTGTTTATACGTTCTGCCACCGTGTAATGAGAACAATGAACGGTATCACTACTGTAGAGAAGACTGTGAAGTTGTTTTCCAAGAGTGTTATTCTGCCATGAGAGAAATGCTTGGAGCTGCAAAATACATTTTGGAAAAACTTGGTATTGAGTTCGCACACGTTGGAGTTCCTGACTGCGCCAAGCTGAACTATTCTGATAGCTATAAGGCAACTAATACCACCTGCTTACACTGGGGTCTGTTCGGTAAGTATGAAATAGTTCACTTTCGCTTGCGAAATCTTTAGAACAAAAGGTCTGTAAGGTCCGAAGTCTTGATGCTTGGTCAAAGTAGAAAGTCGTGGTCGCTGATTTTGCCTCACATCCGGCACTTGGGTGGGGCGTTTGAATACAATTTTTGTCCCAGGGGGCGGGATTTGAACCGATAATCTTTAAAAGTTCACATGTCCGGGGATTGCCTGAGGAGGGGATGTTTAAGCTTCGAATGGATCGAAATCATCCTTTTTAATCGTCCTCGTCTTTAATTTTGTCAGTTTTATTTTCCGTTGACATGTAAAGTTCTCTATGCCTGTATGCAGTTTTTTTTTAAATTTTCCCATCCCAGCTAGCGGGTCAATGCCTATTATTGCTCTTGAACTGAACAACATTATTATTTAAAAAAAATTAGTAAAAGTATAACCTCATGCTTTATACAGTATATGTTTCTTACCGTAGATTTCTCTACTGCTGAAACAGTAACAAACGTGCCACCCAGGTCACACACGGCCGCTTTAGCTGGAGCGGTTGGTGGGGTCGCAGCACTTATTGTTTTTGCAGTAATAATCGCTTGTATCTTTAAACGGCGAAAGAAAAAATCGATGCAAGGATTCGCGGGCGTCACTTTCACAGCCTTGTCAATGAGAGACAGAATTAGAGCCGAGGCTATGCGCGCCCTCGACGAGAGCAAGGTCATGAGTCTGTTTAATCCTGATGATATCAAACAGCTGCCGCTGACCAGTATAGAATATGTCAGGGATCTTGGATCCGGGAACTTTGGTTTGGTATTTTTAGGTACGTAATTAATATTTGCGAAGAAGGATAATATTTAAATATGGTCTAATTCTCAGCAATGGGCAACGGATTTCTAAAGGCAATCAGCTCGTACAACGTACTTTGACCATATAGGGTAAAAGACTGCGCAAGTTGTGACGGGGAAAGTTGTTTTTCGGCGGGATACGAGAGGTTCCCCCCCCCCCCCCCGTCCAAAGACAACAAACAAACAAAACACAAAATTAAATAAATGGAAAATAAAAGCACGAAGAGCTACGCAGCTATGAAGTTACGCTTGGAAAGTTAACAAACGTACCAGCTAGTTGATCATTTTTTAGCATCAGTCCTTCGCTATTACGAATCCTGCTAACACTCTTCAAGCTTCAGTTTTACGAAATTCGCTTTGATGTATTGTCGATCTTGAACATCATTTTAGTTGATGAAAAACCAAATTGTTTACTTGTTAACCCATGAGGCTCAGCAATTACTTTTAGAAACTTACCACATTTCTCTTTCAAAAAAATTTATCAAATGACAACATCAACAAAAGTTGATGAATATCATGAAATATTTCATAGTGATAACTTCAATTCGTCGATCTTTTCAGCCGGACTACTTAAACCCTTATGCCCTAAGACCAGTATACGTATTCTCCATTCTGCTCTCTATACATTTCTTAAGATGCTGATGAGGAGAATTTGTTCAACAATTAAGATTTCTTCAATTGGTGATTATTTCCTTCATTCTCATGACCTTAATGTCTGATTCAAAGGTGATATTATAAGGAGAAATTACATACTGGTCACTCTTAGGGGTTCAAGGGTTAATTGTGCTGGTGCTTCTCTACTTTAGGAAGAGCATATGGTTTAATTGAAGGAAAACCCGAAGCAGAATTGATGGTCGCTGTCAAAACATTAAAAGAAGGATGCTCGACGGAAACTAAAGAAGATTTTTTCAAGGAAGTTGCATTGATGTCCCTTCTGCATCATACAAATATTGTTGAATTGTTAGCCGTGTCTACTGAGGAAGAACCGTATGGAATGATCTTTGAGTTTATGGAGTTAGGAGATCTTAATCAGTATCTAAGAAAAGCTGGACCATTCTTTGAAGGCGATGAGAAGGAAAGAGGTAAGATTGCTTTTAATAACTCAAATGTGTTAGCTTTAGCTTCTCTACAAGCATTTGTGGTTCAACAGTTTATTAAAATGTTGTTACCCTCTTTCCTTGATTAAAGAGACTACGAGCAATCCTTCCTTCCTACGAGCAATCCTTTTGGCGTAGACTGTCGCGCGAGTAAAAATAAGTAAATGAAAAAAAAAAAATGATGTTGTCGCGCCGCGCGGAACTTTGAGAGTTAAGCGCACGAGAAGTGGTCCGTGGATATTGAGAAGAAACAAGGAAATAGGGAGACCTTTGAAAGTTTTACATGATTCCGAGCTTTACTATCACTGTCATATTTCAATTTTTGAGAGAGTACTCATCATTCCTTCAGTGTATCTTTGTGGGGGAACGTTGTCGGGAGTACTTCGTGGTAAAAATGTGGATCCTAATTCATTTAACTTCCCTATTATTGCAGTAAACCTTACTCAAGATGACCTAATGTCAATGTCATTACAATGTGCCGCTGGTATGGAGCACCTGCAGACTCTGAGATTTGTTCACAGAGACGTTGCTACTAGGAATTGCCTTGTGGGTACTGGTCTTATTGTAAAGATCTCTGATTTTGGAATGTCCCGGGATATCTACGCTTCTGACTACTACAAGGTAGGCTACTGTATCGTTCTTCTTTTCCTTCTTTAGCATTTTATTATCTAACTTTTGGAAAGTGTTGAATGAGTTGTACGGAATCAAAGTTTCAGCACGGAAATAGTTTGCAAAACACAAGTTTTAAAATGAAGGACTTTGGCAATAGCAGCAGCCAAGTATTTCCTTTCGCGACCCCGAACGCCACACTTAATTTACTGTCGCCTGCAAACCTCTCTCTCTTGGGTCTCACTCCTTGATCTCTTCCTTGTGGGCCCTCTCGCTTTCGGCTTCTCGCTTTGGTCTTTTCCACTTGCGCATTTCATAAGTCCTTGTCATTTTGAAAGGGCCCCTCAACTTCGTCCCCCCATCTCCTTCCCCTCTTTTCAGCTCGTCCAAGGTAAGCACAATCCCCCCGTCCATGGATTAGTTCAATATCTCGTGACTATGTCAGGCAGCTAAAGTTGCACCCCTCCTATCTCTTCTTCATTTAGACTTTAAGAAAATCACGACTCGACACGATGACGACGGCAACGAGAACGTAGCGAAACAAAAGATCTAATGGGCAAAACTATAGCGAAACACACGTGCGTTTTAAAAATTTGTACATTTCTTGGCCTTCCCATACAGGATAAAAACGTGCAATCACCATCTTAGGAAGGAAACCTCGACAGCAATTTAGTTACGTTTTTAAGTTGAACTCAACACTACATTCATATTTTATGCCGAAGTGAAAGTGAGGGAAATGACTTGCGTTTTTTCGGCAGCGTTTTACCACACGTCGCCATAGTGACACCATAAACTCCCTAATATCTTGTCTATCAACAGCAACCAACCGAATAGAAGTGAGAGCAAAGAGGTATGGCGCAAAAAAATACACCTCCAGTGAGGCTCGAACACTCAACCTTTGACTCAGGAGTCCAACGCGCCCACGGGGGCTGTCATAATGTACCAATTTATCTTAAACAGTATTTTTATCTCCGTACTTCTTTCTCAAGGTGGAAGGACAAGCTGTGCTTCCAATCCGCTGGATGCCTCCTGAGGCTTTACTGTTGGGTAAATTTACCGTGGAATCTGATATTTACTCGTTTGGTGTTCTTCTGTGGGAGATCTACACACTGGCACTTCAGCCTTACTATGGATACACCAATGAAGAAGTCGTGGAATTTATCAAAAAGGTGGGTTTAATATTTATGAGTGCTAGAATGCTAGATTTTTCAACAAAGATCTTCTAGAAAAGAAATATATAAAATAATTTTGTTGGAGGTTTTCCTATCTTCCCTCTCATGCTTTGCCAATGGCTTGTCACTTAATGCTGGACAGTTCCATCGATTTACCAGCTCTTCAAGATGGTGAAAAAACGTGATTGAAGTTTATTTTATGTAGTGAGCTGTAAAACCATTTTTGACCCGTAGGAGTGTCCGTCGAATACTTTTCCCTTGGTAACAAGATCTCTTAATTTTATTTTAGCTTTAAATGATTTGAATGGATTTTAAATGGAATGGTGCATTCCAGATGAGTCTAAGTTTAGCGCCGGTCTCTGAACCTTCGAAATTACTAACATTCGCCTTCTTCGGCTACAAGATCGATCATTTTTAACTCGTGAATTGCGCGCATGCGCAAGAGCGAGTTTTAGATATGATGTGAGAATGGCACTTGCTCGCTCGCTCGATTGGTCGAATCCTGTAAACCTTTTTTCGATTTTAGGCTTTTGAGTGCATTTGATAGTTTTTGGCGAGTAATAAACAAACGAAACGGCGACCTTTGTTGCTAAGAATAGTAGTGGGGTGAAAAAGAAGCCAATGTTTATTTTTCTCGTTTTAGTTTCAACAAGCGGCGCCAGCGACTGGCAAGCGCGCGAGGATTTACACTGAAATAAGAGAACAACCTTCGTTTTTCATAAAATTGGAAGTTACAATACTTGAACTTGAAAGCAATCCGGAGATTCATTAAAAATATCACTTCGAAACGCTCGGAGTTTAGAGGTGTTCAAAGGCTTTTTCTGTTATGGCGTGAGATTAGGGACAAAATCGATCATTACATTTCGTATCATGTGTTTTTTCTGTGTGAAGCAACAAAAGGTGCCGGTGACTGACGAAATTACAGGTTAACACGAAAATCAAATAACACCTGAAAAATAATTTTGGCTACCGATTTTCAGTGAATTTTTAAAGAACAATTTTCTTTTAAGTTTAAAGACAATTTGAAGATTCAAAATAAATACTACGTACTAAAATGCTAAAGTTATACACCACAAAATTGATAAATAGGCCTGAAATTATCTTTTTCTTGATTATACGTTGCCTAGCACGCCTAGCACGCCTAGCACGTGACCAAAATCTACCCAGGCGGAAATCCAAAATGACGGTGGCAGTCCGGGCTAAGTTATATCGCTCAAAACTCGTTCCTGTTTGTCTCATTTTATAAAGAGGGAATCATCAATGTTTTCATTAAGATAGTATTGCCTTGATTTTCCAATATTTACGATGATAGACAGTAAATTTCACTTTTCACCCGCATTTACTTTCAACCTTTTCTTTTGAACCAGAAACAAAAATGACATCTGTTTAAATCACATGACATCATCCACCCTTGTCAAATGTAATAGCATGATCATTTCAATTGTAATGCCTTCTTATCCCAACGTTACTTTGTTTCTTTGCTACATTAGCGAACACTGCACTACTGCTCGTACTCTAAATATGACAATCAATCACAAAATTCCCTAAACCAGATAACATTAAACATAATCCCAAAAATCATGTAATTCATCTGTCAATCCACGAGTTTGCTCACAGAGCACTTTGATCAACATATCGTTTTAAAAATTCGTTTATTTTGATGTTGAATGAGATGTTTCATCACAATTCACTACGATATAAAGCAGTCATCCACGGGTAATGGCGGGTGTTTTTAAAAGCGATAAAACACGCCAAAATTTTACTTGAAAGATTATTCTTAGTTTTATTTGATTGGTTCCGCTTTACAAATGACCGTTCAATACAGATAGAAGAAAATACAAACAAGCCGCTCAATACAGGTTCGACTGTATGTAGGTTTTCTATGTTCCTGATCGTTCCTCCATATTGAAAAATATCCAAACATTTCTCAGTTTACGTCGGGCCTGTGACTTAGTGCAAGCGCATATTGAAAAGACGTGTTCAAATAATTATGTTCGCCACCATTTTGATGTGGTGGACTCCGTGGCGCAATGGTAGCGCGTCTGACTCCAGATCAGAAGGCTGCGTGTTCAAGTCACGTCGGGGTCAGCTCTCCCTTTTTTAAATTTCCTTCGATCTCATCTCCTTTTTTTTTTTTTTAATGTTTTTTTTGTATTTAGATCTTCCCACGTAATTTTCGAGGCATTGCTCTATCTTCCTTGAGGGCAAGCTCGCTTAGTCTTTTTTCACTCGTTTCTAAATTACTCAAAAATAGTGCGATCGTAACTATGCTTTACAATCTACTTGGTAAGTTTTTTTTCCTTAGAGGGAAAAATCAGGCAAGTTGTAATTTAAAGAAAAAAAGAAAAAAAAATCAAATAATGAATATACAAGCTGATAAGATTTAAATCGGGGAAAAAAAAAAAAAAAAAGAAGTGCACCCCTGGTGGGACTCGAACCCACAACCTTTGAATTAGAAGTCCAACACGCTAGTCCATTGCGCCACAGGGGCTGCGCTGAATTGGAATGGTGAAATTAATGTATTAATACATTCTTATTCAAATTAAACGGCATTGGATAACAATATCCGCCTCGGTCTCGGATTTCATGAGCTATTTCTGTCTATCTTACACCATTATGTCGTATTTTTACTTATTTTTGGCTATTTTACATCTATGAAAGAAAGAAAGAATAGTTTGCTGGATTGGAAGTTGCCGTAATTAATAATTATTCACCAAAATTTACGAGAATAGTGAAGAACATTTAACGACCTGTGAATCAGCGAAATAAATATTCACCACTTTAACCGAGACTGACGCGAATAATTGTTTTGGTGTGTACGAAACAGAAACCAAGTCAGAGAATACCTATGGCCAACTCGTGCATAAAATACCTAATCTAGAGGTGAAACGTTTTTGTGAACTTGTAATCACTGGACTTTCAGCAATGCAAAGGTTGCTTTTCTATCAAGAAAATCACGGAGAGATCCACTATTATAGTAACCATCAAGCTCCGCAGAATAATAAACGTAGTATTATAAAATCTACAAAAACAGCACAAAATAGTATCTTACGTTTACCGAATTTCCGTTTAAATAATTCGTCAAATCTTTCTTCGCCCGCTTAAGCCAAATTCTACTATTTTCCATTTTTATGTCACGTTTCGCCTCACAGTTGCTCAATAAATATTTGCATTTTGACGCAGTGATCTTTATTTACAGGGTTTCCTCTCTCTTGCATCTGATAACAAACCTCTGAGTTTTCTGCATCGGATCGAAAATAATTCAGAACGTATTTTATGTGACCCCAATTTTTTTTTTTTATGACCGATTGAAATTAAAGATACACGGCAATGAATCCCACAAGTTTTCTTTTGTCAGAAATACACAAGATTGGTGTTTTCATTTTCCTTTAATATTGTACAAAAACAACTGCTCATCGATGGTTTTAAGAGTGAAAGAAATGGCTTCTTCTTTACTCGAATGCAGATAATTTCGTACGCCAAGAGCTTTTAGTCTAATGTTATTGAAAAAGTCATCTCGCCCAAATCTTGAAGTACGTTTTTTAACAGCACCCAAAGTTGGCCAAAAGTCTGATAACCGTTTCCCTCAGTTGAGGGCGAGGTGGGCATGCAGAAGCAAGGGTCACTCAACATTCGAGAAGGTAGACTTAAAGTTCAGCAATTGTGGAATCGCGGATGTGAAAAGTTGAAAAGGTGGCAGGAATATTTTAATACTGGCCCCACCGAGCGCTTAGGGAGAGGTTGAAAAATGCTCTATTTTATTTAAAAGGGAGTACATCTTGGGCAACCTGAAGACTGCCCAGATCACGTGTATCAAATAATGAAGAATTGCTGGCACAAAGAGGCTTCACAGAGACCAAACTTTACCCTGATGATAGCTCAGCTTAAACAGGAAGTGAATACACATTACGACTCCCTCGACTCGCCGTGTGTTAGTGACAAGCAACCGCTGTATCAGAACATCGGCGTCTCTTCAGAAGAGATAAATGGTAGAGTAAAGATTTATTAGCTAAACCTTGGATGCTTAACTCTCCTTTCTAGTCACTATTCATTTCTTCGTTAAAAAATTTTGAAAATTTGGTGTTATATTTTTAGTCGCGCGAGTGGTGTGACGAACTTCGCAAAAAGGCGTGGACTGCTCGTACTGTGTTCACACAGCATTCATCTGGGGAAATCATTTGAATTTTTTTTATTGGGGCAGTTGACATAATTAATAAGTGAATTTTTCTCGGCTTTCTTAGAAGAGCACCCCGTTGCCGAACGAGCAGCCAGCAAAATTTCCCAGCCAGCTCCAAGCGCTCCACAGAGTAGTGTTCCCCCACCCTCCGCTTACATCAACGTCGCCTGCAATCCTGGTTTCCATAGTGATGACGAAGACGGAGTTTTTGAAGAAGGCATTTTGTAGGAACATTAAGAATAGAGACCGAGGCTGTTAAAGATCAGATTTTAAATCTTTATGGTTGTGTGTTTTTGAAGATACTGCCTATCATTTTAGGTATTGGTTTGCCAGGTACTGTTATTAAGGCCTAGACTAAAAAAAAGATAGAGAAAAATTAATTCAATATCGAGAGAAATTGCTTTGATTTACTAGCGAGAGTGTTCTCTCCTCCTTTTCAGCCAATCAGATTTAAAAATTTAAGTCTTGGACGCATGCATTTTCCCGCGCTTAAGACGCATGAATGCACGTGGAATTTTCATTGATGATACGATTTTTTTTTGGTTTTAATTTAAATACTTAATAAGAAAAACGTGTTCATTTTCCATTGTATAACCACTGCTAGAATTTTGTTAGGATAAAAAATCACCTAAATCGTTGGCTTCTATAGCTGCAACAGATTTTAAACCAACAATAAGTTTGTGCACTTTATTACAATTATTTTGGTCGCTCAGTTGGTATCGCAGATCAATCTGAAAAAGAAAAACCGGGAAAATTAGGTGAAAATTTTGGTTTCCATGTTATCCACTGACCCGCTTTGATTTCCCAATTAATGTTCAGACTTTTTATACGATTTACAATCATTTGGATAGAGATGAGGTAGTAAGATCACCCACCCTGTCGGATCCAAGGGATTCCGGGATCGAATGGAAACCTGGCTAACCATAAACTTAAGCTCGAGTTTTTCATTCAGTGACGAGAAAGTTTTCAACAGTTTTCTTCATTGTTGGGGATTTAGTTAAAAGCTCCATGATTGATGGTACAGTAATTAAAAGTAGATGGTCGAAGTTAATGCGAAATGACTGCGTTTCCCACTAATAGTGGAAGATGGGTGTGGATTTCAGTGCTTCTCTTTAATCGAAAAATAAAATACAAAAATAGGTTTTTATATGACTAGAGCAGCTTGAGAATTACTAAGTACCATATGGTAAACAATGTTTAGATATATATTTCTCTAAATTCAATTAGACTGCAAAATTGAATTTGCAGTAATAATATGGACTCATCAGAGTGAAGAAAATGTTTATGGCGCATTTTGTATAAATTTTATGCTTCTTTTGCCCCAGCCCCACCCCCCTCTTTTGTTTTAACCGTCGCTCACCCCCCCCCCCCGTACGAATTTCTTTCTTTCCTCAGCCTCCCGCCGTAAAATTAGAAAAACAAGAAAATACTGTGCTCACCCTCGCCAAAAATTAGGCTACAAAGAGCCGTAAAACGTCATCAATTTTATGCATCGTTGCGATATTAATTTAGAGATGGAAAGTGGAATGTTTGGGGTAATTTAACAGATAATCTCTGTCAACGAGATGATGACACAAACAGTTGTCTTTAATCCCGATAAGAGTAAGCCTTTTACTACGCTGGTAAATGTCTCAAATTTCGCCAACGCGGCTCGCAAAGGATCAATGAAGCGCCCGCAAAGGATCTAGGAAAAATTCGCATACGATACGCTCCCTAAGATTGTTTATTGCCCTTTGAACGTAATTTACACCTTCCTCAGACAAAGCAGCCAAATCAGCTAAATCGACTTGAATCGGATGTGTTGAATTGAATTAGTTTTCTTCATTGAATTTTGCCTCCATTTCATCGTAAGTTGCCTGAAATATAACAAGTTAATGAGTGATATGGCTAAAACGCGAAAAAAAAATGCATTAAAACTCAGTTCATACAGAAAGATCGTGTTGTTTTCAATCAGAACAAATAGAAGAGGGCAGATCCGGTAAGAATTACATTTTATATTTAGCATGATGCTAATTAATTCCTGAGAAACAGCTGCCAACCCCACTTAAGAAGCCGCCACCCACTACCCCAAGGAACTGCGCGCTTATTAGGAATTCAGCCGTATTTTAATGAGACTGCAGTGTCCGTGCTTACTCTCACGCAGAAATTTTAGAGCAAGTGAATTCTTTGCTGATCTAACTTTGCTGATTCCGAACCATGATCGCTGAAATCATCGGCCTTTTAATCCTTCTTGTGGCTGTTTATATCGCGTCCACAATTTGGCAACTCCGATGTTTTCCACCTGGTCCTTTTCCGTTACCTCTGGTTGGGAATCTTCTTTCGATCGAACAAAACAGACCTTATGCAGCTTTAGCAAACATGGCGAAAAAGTATGGAAAATTGGTCCGAATCCACATGGGGAGAAGAAAAGTTATTGTGATCAATAGTTACGAAATTGCAAGAGAAGCGCTTGTCACAAAAGCAGAGGATTTTGCCGGACGACCTCGACATTTCTTCGGTAACATTTTTGGTCGAGATTGTACAGATATTGTGTTCCAAACTTTTAACAAGACATGGAAGAAGCAGCATAAACTTGCTTTATCAGCTCTGCGACTAGCCGAGGCAAAAGCCAACATGACTGATCATGCAGAAAGGTTATGCATCAGATTTCAGTCCTTTGATGGAAAGCCATTTTATCCTCACGATTTAGTTCTCAATTCTTTAGCCAATTGCCTCTCGTCTCTAATTTTTGGCGAAGAACACAAACTTGATGATTGTGAAATAAAAAAGCTTGTGAACGCCACTCATGTTTTTCGTAATTCTCTCGGTGCTGCTAATTTGCTCGACACTTTCCCAGTGTTGAAGTATATTCCATTTAACATCATCAAGAAAGCAAAGCGCGCTGGTGAAATCCGCGATGAAATTTTTGAAAGGAAATTTGGGGAACATGTTTCGACCTATCAAGAGGATAATATCCGTGATTTGATGGATGCCATGCTGAAGGGCTTCCACGAAATGGCCGACGATGGTTTGGTTACAAAGAAGCATGTGATTTCAAGGTAGGATGCATTGTTCTCAACTTCTGTTCAGGTGTTTCTGAGAGGATCGTACTAATAGAGTTTTCAATGTAAGGGTGGTAGGCTATTTAGCAATGCGGCAAAAAAAAAATATATCATTACATAATATACATAATAATTATTATAATTATTATTATTATATTATGCAATAATTATAATAATTACATAATAAAGAATTTAGTTAATTCTCTTCTGGTCACGTTTTGCTTTGTTCTTAGTTATCGTTTAGGCGTTTAGAGAATCTAATCACAATAGGATAATATGCTCACGAATGCGCAATTATCTTTTGTTACAAAGAAAACAAGTGATTTACATAGTGCTGAGAACTTTGTTGAGTGAAAGTATGAAAGACAGAGAAAGAATGTTTTGCCGGCGGCTGTAATTATGTAATTTACCTGACTCCTTAGGGACCTCTGACGTAATCATGACGGCGAACACAAGGAAAGCTCTGATTAGAATTGAATTGAAAGCTGTTATGAGTCTTACGAGTTACTCGAAGAAGACTTAATCGTCTTTATCAATAGCATTAGAACTCCTCTTATGTGTAACGGGTAAAGTCTAGGATGAGTACCAAGAAGAGATGTGAATGATATGCTGTCGAGGTTCTCGTTATCGGACAAAGCAAAATTAGGTGATTTCATGTTCCTTTATAAGATGCATCCAGGAAATCCAGATGATATTCGCTTTTGTCGCCTTCAGCTTTTGCATTTTGGCGTCAAACCTCAAAAAGGTTTTGACACAAAACACAATTTGCATTTTCTTTCAATGAGCAAAATTAATACAACAGGCACGCTTCAATACATTGCTTTACTTTTTAAATAAAGCGCATTTTGATAGAGTTTCGTAAAAACGAAAACCAGTGTAATTACAAGGGCCAATCAGAGCCAAGAAAAATATTACAACAAACCAATGAGAACTCTAAGTGAAAGCAAGCAAACAGCCTAAAAGGGGGGGGGGGGAGGGGAAACACGAGAATCGTGATTTGTTCTATGATGGTAATTGAAGTGAGTGGGGTACAATTAAGTCTGAAATCGTACACGTGATTTGAAATCACAAGTATGACTGCAGGCTAAAATTGTACGACACTAAGTTAAATTAGCACTTTATTGCAATCATTTTGAAATCACAAAATTCAGTTTCTCAGATACAAGATTTTTGAGTCTGCTCAAAAGTTTTAATAATCTAGTAGTGAGCTGCAGGTTTGTTGAAAGTTGCAAAAGTTGCTTTAATTTCATTTTCCTGCAATTTAATTGGTTTCTTCAGACAAGCGATTGGTTGTTACATTTTAGTAAAGTTTCATCATTAGCTGGGAAAAAGATGCGATTTAAAACAAAAATGGTGCGGCTCATGAATAAATTAGTGCCATTGAATATTGAGAGCCTATTAGATCACAAGGATTGCCAGTGATTTCAAAATGAATGCAATTAAATTTAGTTTTAATCTGATTGGTTAAGCAGGTGGCACCAATTTGTGCCGTATCTTAACGAGCCAGCAGGGCGAGTCAATATACGAAAAAAGGATAAAAATCCTCACCGATACTACACACCATAACGTCTAGTAAATTATTTATTATCTAACTGCTTTATTTTATGCGCAGCTCTTAAAAAGTTGAAAGGCAAAGCAGATAGAGAAGCGTAGCGCGCAGCTGACCGGTTAGACAGTTTTTTTACTATACAAAATAACCAACTTTCCAATATCGCAGGATATTTTTACTCGATTTGCGCGTTATTTGAACTCTTCCTAGGGCATTTGGATAATAGTAATAATCCAATATCAATCTTTGGACGTAATGGAATAACATATAATTCACTGCTGATTTTTTATTTTGTGCAAACATAACCATGATTTTCATCCTTTACAGCGCATCTGATTTCTTTTTTCCTGGCACTGAAACTCCCTCCAGTGTTATCACGTGGGCCCTATATTACGCCATTAAATACCCGGATGTGCAGGCCAAGCTCCATTGTCAGTTGGATTACGTCATGGGCAGCACATATCGCCTGCCGGAAATTTCTGACAAACCAAATTTGCCTTATTTAAATGCATTTATCACCGAGGTTCTCCGTATTGTGAGTGAAACTCCACTCGCCGTTCCCCACTCAACAACTCGGGACACGTCCCTCGCTGGATTTAAGATCCCTCGGGACACGACTGTGTTTCTTAATCTCTGGGCCATACACCATGATCCCGATATCTGGGTCGACCCATTCAGCTTCCGCCCAGAGCGCTTCTTGGACGAAAACGGCCAACTGCACGTGGAAGGCGTCATGTCATTTTCAGCAGGAAAACGGTCATGCACAGGAGAGTCTTTTGCGAGGAAAGCAGTTTTCTTGTATCTTGCCCGATTGTTAAGCAGATTCAGATTTGAGTGCCTCGAGGGAACAACATTACCTAAAGAAGAAGAAAGCGTGTTCGGAGTCGTGCTTGATTGTAAGCCCTTCCAGATGCATGCCATACCCAGAGACAAGGACGAAAAGTAACGAGAGAAAAATCAGTTCGAGTCTGAAAGAAAGTGTGTACAGGAATATTATTTCCCTTTTATCCGTTAGTGTTAGAAATTGAGCAGATTTAGCAATCGCGGCAAGAGATCGCCAATAAGAACATAGCAATGTACCTTAGCCTGGGCACAAATATTTTTAACAAACCGATAGACAAATAGTTTGCAGTCAGTCGGTGGAGGCAAGCGAAAAATCTTGTGGGTGAAGAATGACGTTGCCCAGACATTCGCCTATCATCTCTAGTAGGCCATGTCGCTTGATAGCCTGGGCACAAGGCTGGGCAAGATTGGGCACAAGCACGTGCTGCGCTAAAACTTGCCTGCACTGTTTAGTTGCGTTATATCTACAGAAAATAACAGCAAACGTCAGCTATTTTGTAGCAGGGACGTCACACCTACAGACAATAACCTTAAATGTGTGTTGATATGAAGAAATGACGTCATACCGGCACACACCAGCGTTAAATTTGTACAGTTCACGAGGAAGTGACATCGTACCGACAGGCCATAGTCTTCATATATGAAGATGCGACGTCTCGCATATGGACCCGATATTTATTGTTTTAAAGTGACGTCATAACTAGAGACGGCAGTTTCTATACATTTCGAAGCGACGACTTAACAAAAAGATTTTATGTTGTAGTGCGTCTGTTAGTAATAGATCACATATGATGTCAAAGTAGGAACAAAAAAGTGGTACTGATGTTCTTAAAACATCTTCACGTCTTCTTTGATCTATTGATGAACAGGCGCAGGGCAACACGAATCTATTTGTTTTTCTGTAACAAAAATGCAAAATTTTGTCAGACGTCATCTATGCGTCCAACTGCCAATAGGTTATGAGTAAGAACCAGTAAAAACATAATGCATGTAGAATTCAGTTTTTCATTGAAATACAGTGTACCTTTAGACAATAACGTTTAAGCATGCATCACAAAGCAACTATTTGCAAAGATACCAGTTGAACTACCAGTAAAGTTCGGTAGCTCTCTTTGGATCTTTTGGCATATCGATGTGAGACCATGTAATTCTTTCCAACAGTCCCACCTACCATTATAGAGACTATAATGTACATGCTGGGTGGATGCAAAACCATCCTGCGGTTCCTTTAGTTTTATGCTAGGGGCTTTCGCGCAGTATTTATAATTTTCAGTTAGCTTGCCGGCTGTACTCTGAAAAAAAAAAAAAAGAGAAAAAAAAGGTATCCGAAAAGCTAACAGTAGTTCGTTTGTATTTAACAAACACAGATGATTAAGAAAGGAGCTAGATGCCAAGGTTTTACCGACCTTATTACTATTAGGACTATGTTTTAAGACAAGAACTGTAAACTGTGTTGTTACTTAACATTGACGAAAAGTGAACCTTGAACTATTAATATGCCATAGGAGTTTCTTAGATTGCAGCATCTCCTATTCCTACTTAACAATTCCTGGATGCCTTGTTAAGCAGAGGTCTTTTTTTTCATGGATTACAATACCCTATAGAATTCTACAATGATTGTACATGTAAGACTTACCTTAACAGTCTGAATGCCTTTTTTTTTTATTTATCAGATATCATAAAAAAGGGTCTCTTTGTTATTAACCATTAGCCGTAAAACGGCAAAGAGATAGCCGCTTGACGTAAACGCTAATTCTATCTCTACGCCTCTGCAGACTGTCTACATTCTTCCGGCCTACTTTACTATGCAAGCTCTAAAGAACATGCTTGTATGTTCCCTATCAATAGATATGGGTGGGTGGCCAGCTGGCTGACCTCAGTTGGGAAATTAAACATTTGTCGTTAGAACACTGACCCAAACAATTTCACGAGACTTTTGAAATGATCAACAGATTAACTAATTATTCAGATAACCTGTATCAACCTGTGACTGCGTTAGCCAAAACAAGAACTTTCGTGTGGGTCCAAAGGAAGGTCAGTAAACACATCCACTTGAAAGTTAAAGAAGACTGTCACATTTCAAGGAAACTCAACACGTTAGCTCAAACCCAAAACACTTCAGACTTTCAATTCATAAAGCAATTAGATTCTAAATGTAAACGATTGACTAAATCATACTGAACTGACCAACTAACTGACTCACTGAATTAACTTATACTTCGTAATAAAATGGCAAAATTTTAACCGACAGTGTCAAATTGAGGTGGGCTTATTATTTATCCGGATACAGATTTGTGTTTCGTTCCAGTTACGGCAATGATCACTCGATTTTAACAAAAGTAACTTACTCTTTCGCCATTACCTTGCCGAATATTTAACACATACCTGGTTTAAAATGTTGACCCTTTGACTTACACTCAGTCGGGCGCTGAACTGCCAAAGCGTGAAAATGAATTATACTCATCAAAAACAACAAAAAAATGTTAAGTTTTTATTCTTAACCCAAAAACAGTAGTTAAAATACGCAAAAATTGTCCACATTCAGTTTTTAAAATCAAAGTTATTACTTGTCTGGCCTGCAGATAGCTATTGCTTTTGTACTCGGCCCAGCCTTTCAAATCCTATAAAGTCTGAAATCCTTAAATTACAAGCTTAGTAAAACTACTGCTTTCAAGCGCAACTCTCTTTTGTAGCGTCAAGTTACACTATTGATGTATTGTTGTCCAAGAGCTCCATGAATTCACAAACCTTTATTTGGTATATCTACAATTCTAGAATCCAAATTCGAAAACAGAAAAACACACAGATGTGATAGTTCAAAAGTTCAATAAATAAAGACAGTATTTACATGGTATAAGAAAAACATATCTTTTTGGGTTGACATGCCCTTTACACGCTGCCGTTTCCGCCCCGACTACAATTTCTCAGCAAGTGCCTTTATCCCTCTCTATTACTAAAATATGGTAAATGATATCTTTATAGACCTTTAAGTCGACTGTCGCGAATGCCTCCCTTGCCTCAAGAAATTCACGTCAATTCACTTATTGTAAAAGATATAGTAAGAACAATATATTTCACAAGAATTTTCCAGGAGTTGAGGACTTAAATAGAAAAAGTACTTCGCAATAATAATAGTAATACGTATGATTTGAGAAAGTGAACTCGGCCGATTTTAGCGTCAACATTTAGGAGGGATATCCAATCCAGTTTTGGCTGAAACCTTATGAAGGATCAAAGATTAACTATAATCACATCACTTTGCTTGTTTCAACTCAATTCAGTTAAGCTGATCACAAATGAAATAAGGTTGAATTATAGGCAGCAACGAAGGTTTAGAAAGAGGGGGTGTACTGAAAGGGCTGTTGTATTCCCTCAGGGAACTGTCAAGATGGGTATTTTAGGAGTGACGCTTTGGTGTTAGCGCGATTTTTCGGCTCCCTCCTCTGAGCCCGATACGTATCTGCTCCTTTTGGAGGAGTCTGATCAGTACCCAAAGCTTTTCGCTTTCCTAACCTCATTGTTGAGGTTGACGTCTGAGATAAGTGTACACTGTGCAGAATGCGCTATTTCACAGCGTCGCTCTGCAAGATGCGTAGTTCATAACCCACAGATTGTAGATGGAAAGAATACACCTTAGATGTTGTTAATTTGGTTTTTCTGTATTTATATAGTCAATCATTTATATTTAGAAAGCTTCCAGTCCACTCTGCCTTTCTAACCATTTGTGATTCAAACTCAAAATGGCGAATCACGAAGGGTAACATTTCTGGCAAAAATAACTTTTGAATTCCAAGACGCTAATCCATTCCACCACGGGGGTTATTATCTTGTTGAAGATATATTTGTAAAGAAGCAAAACACGCGGACGTGATTTTCAGCTGTGACTGGTTTCGGTAACATTTCTGGCAAAGAAAACTTTTGAATTCCCAGACGCTAACCCATTCCACAGCGGGGGTTATTATCTTGTTGAAGATATATTTGTGACAAACCGAAAACGTTATTTTCAGCTGTGACTGGTTTCGGTGAATGCTGGATATGATCAGCAAAGCTCGATAAAGGGTGTGGGCCTTAGTTTGTACCAAGAATATACATGAATGCACTTTTTATATTTTGTTTTTGTTTTTGTCTTCATTTTTTTTCTTGTTACTACAAATTTTTTAAACATGGTTCAAGTACCGTTCAGTCCCTGGGGAGCAATTTACACGCAAACATATCAGACTTCTAAGAATCCAGAATTGGTTAATTTGGGTTATACAAGGGGAGATTATTTTCAAGGTTAATCTCAGTCGATTAAATAATTAGCTGCACACGAGCCCTTTTTAAGACCTGCCACAAATCGCTTCTCTTCTTGCTCCGCTGTTGTCGCCCAATTCAAGTCTATAAAATAAGGCAGATGGATAGTTAAATACCCAGCCGAGAACAAATATTCTCGGCTGCTTATCGTCCGTCGTTGAAAAATAAATGAACGGTAATTGGGGAGTTAAGCAGGTTTTTGGGTTCTTAGCAAGAATTACAAACTAAGGAGAATTACAATGTTAACTGTTAGTGGCGAAAATATGAAGAACTTCAGCTGCGATGCCAGATTCTCGGATTCTGACCGAAGCTTCCCGCCAAAGAGAGACATCTTGTTTTCAACAGATTCAAAACATGTAATTGCATTCCCTTTCAGGGTTACTGTGGGTCGATTATATTATTAGTTCCACGCGAGTGTCTTGCAAGACCTGTCATAAACCGCTTCCCTTCTTGCTTCGCTGTCGTCGCCCAATTACATAAAATAAGGCAGATGGATAGTTAAATACTTATAAGCAATTTTGTTGTATTCGAGTATTTTTAATCGTTGTTTGTATTTTGACGCACTCAGGGGGTTTGTAAAAAATACACCACTACTCTAAGAAATACGCAGCGATACTACATAGCAAAACGTCTAATAAGATGTATTTGACCAGCGGGCACAATCGATACCCAGCCGAGAACAAATATTATCAATTGCGCCCGTTGTTGAAAAATGGGTCAACGCTAATTTAGGCCTTAAGCAGGTTTTTGGGTTCAAAGCAAGATCTTAGGAAATGAAATGAAAATAGTAGAACTTTTTGCAAAGCCATGAAACTTATAACTGTTGTAGCGTGTAGCATGAGATATAATAAACAGAATTACAATGTTAACTGTTAATTGCGAAACTAGGACCTTCAGCTACGATGCCAGATTCTCGGATCCTGATCAAAGCTTCCCGCCAAGAGAGACATCTTGTTTTCAACAAATTCAAAACATGTAATTACATTCCCTTTATGATTTAGACGCTAGACCTCGAAACCATACCGTGTTGGGCGGAACATAGCTGTTTGAACGCCGGGAACCAGCAGTTGAGCACGCCACACTCGGCGAAAGGCACCAATGACTCTCGAACTGTCTTTTATTCTTTCTTCAGTTGATTAATCGGTTCTCCAGTTCGCATTTTTACTTACATCCAAGTTTACTTCATTCTGTGTAACTCTGGTTAATCTCTTAGGTTCCGACTCTTTAATTCTAACTGAATACTTCTCACTGACACGTGCTGCTAAACGCTCACTTCAACTACGGAATTCTGTCTCTACACTTCTGCACAATGTCTACTTAACAAATAGATTCTAAGTTGCCGGGCGTCTGTTCAGTAATAGATCACAGATGACGTCAAAACGTGGTAAGAACAGAAAAGTGGCACACGAGGCGCAGCCGAATGTGTCACTGATGTTCTTACCGCATTTTGACGTCCTCTGTGATCTATTACTTAACAGACGCACGGCAACTTGGAATCTATTTGTTTTATATAATAAAGAATTAAAAAAAGTTTTAACGATGATGTCATCTATACGTCTGTCCTCCAATAGATCATAAGTGAGAACCAATCACAATGCGTGCATGACTGAGCTTATTAAAATAATAGAATATAAATTCTACTATTCTACGCTACTAAGCAAGCGCTTAAGAACTACTGCTCTGATAGGTAAGTTCTGAAGTACACAGTGCTTATATATATTTACCATTGATAGATATGTGTGAGCATGCCAGCTGGCTGACCTTAGGAAATTAAACCTTTTGTGGTTTGAACACTAACCCAAAATGCATGAACATTGCATAACTCAAAACACGAACTTTCGTGTGGGTCTAAAGTAAGGTCAGTGGCCAAACTAAGCACGTCTTAAGAGAGATGTTTCCTCGTCTTGTTACAAGCGTGGGACAAAGAAAAATTCAGAGTCCCCATGAG